ATACGAATGTATATATGTGTGCACACACACACGCACACACATACATACACACACACACACACACACACACACACACACACACACACACACACATATATATATATATGTATATATATATATATATATATATATATATATATATATATATATATATATATACATATATATATATATATGTATATATATATATATATATATATATATATATATATATATATATATATATATATATGTATATATATATATATATATATATATATATATATATATATATATATATATATATGTATATATATATACTCACACACACATATGTCTGTGTACATATGCACTCGCACACGCGCACACACGTGCGCGTGTGTATGTGTGTGTGTGTGTGTATACTCACACACATACAGATACGTATGTATATATATGTATGTATATGTATATATATATATATATATATTCACACACACATGTATGTGTACATATGTACACACACACACACACACACACACACACGCGCGCACACACACACGCGCACACACACACACACACACACACACACACACACACACACACACACACACACACACACACACACACGCGCGCGCGCGCGCGTGTAAATATGTATTTTTTCTGTGTTCCTTTTGATGATGCGGATAGCGATAAAAGTGATGGCGATGATAATGATAATGGTACTATATATATGCGTGTGATATGTATTTGTTTGCTTAATTATACGTTAATGTATTTTGACTGATGTTAATGGGATGTGAAATGTAAACAACATTAAAAATCTAAATATTTACCAATGGAATTACAAACAAGCGAAAAGAACAAAATCCCGAAGGCTCATGAAATAGCTCATACAAGAGCTAAAACCCGTTAACACACCTCATGACAGGAACCTTTACTGACATAAAGGAATATTTCCCCGTCAATAGGGAAAAATAGATAAATAAAAATAATGGTTATTCATTTATTTATTGATGACAAATATGAAATGATAAAATAAGTGAGCTTTAAGCTTTACATAGACATATTTTTCTTTGTTTCATAAAATATTCAACAATCGAGAGATGACATGCGTCAACTATTGATTTCTTATTCATATTAAGTATATACACAACATTCTAGAATTTTAACAAATGGAGTAACATTCATTCATACGTACTGTGAATACAAATATTTTTTTTTCCTGTCGCCTTTCCGAACATGGATATAGCGACGGTATATTTTGGCGAGCAATCTATGCCAAGGTATCTTGATGGAAGTTGATATGCAAACAATATTAACAGATTTTTCATTCTAGGTTCAGAGGCCTACCTGATGATTTGTATTAGGAAGGTGGGAGGAGGAGGGCGTAGAGCAGGTGGGTAGGGCACTGTTCAGGCTGCTTTTTCAATTCTTAACTTGTGAATCTCGCTTCAAAGAGCCAAAAATCTTGGTAGAGTTTACTCGCCAAAATATAACTAGAGATCTTGTTCTTTTAAAGATCAAGTTACGACAGTTATCAGTTATAAATATGATTTTTTAAACGATCATCTACCTACAGTTCCATAAAACATCCAGCTGTCATGTAACCCATGTGTAGTTTGACGTAAAAAGATAAAAATATTATTTTCTGGAAGAAAGAAGGAATAAAATGCATGGACAAATTTCCACTTCTACATACAACGGAATTAACTCATGAAACATATTTTTGCTCCATACTCTTAACCAGTACTAAATGCTCTCTGGAAAGTAAGAGTTACATCAAAGGTTCTCGGTTATTTCATTTTAAGAACAAGGAAGAAACAATGTACATTTTATACACTTCTTTTCTATAATTGTATACATGTAGATTTTAATGTTTAATGTAAGTTTATCATATAAATGAAAAAGTTTTTTTTTTCTAGGTTTCTACTATTTGTGCACAGAAGGTTTTAAATGTGAGACAATTTGACAAATACGCACTTTACTATAATAAAACAAACAAACAAGCAAAAAAAATGTATGACAAAAAGTATTAGAAAAAAAATCACAGAAAAATCTGTTAATGATCTTGGTATTTATAAATCTATTTACTAGCACCACCTTTAGTTGAGCGTTATATTAACGAAAAATGTTGTCTGTCCAACAGATTTATTGCCTTGTCTTGTAAAATAATAAAAATTGAATTCTAAATTCATTGAATCATTGTAACTTTTACTAACTGTTTAAAATAATGGGTGATATACCTATAAACAAAAACAAACAAACAAAAAAAGAGAAAAATATGTATCAGTAATCCAAAAGAGAACAACATGAAACCACTCTACATAACAAACCAAGATGCCCATAAGGAAGAAGAAAAGAAGAAAAGCGAAAAAAATGAAATTAAATAAAAAAGAGAAAAATACAAACCACCTCGCTGTTATAATCCCCCTACAAACTTAGAATCCAATCCCAAACATCACATTGCTTCTTCGTTGTAGCCAAGGGGGTTCGTCCACTACAGAGGATCCCCACCTAAGCCAAAAGAACGGAGAGCAGGTCAAGTGCGTGTGTCCTCGAGGCTGGCGAACTTGTATCTGCACGGCCACCTGGTGTCGATATCGTGAATAGGAATGATCTCTTCAGACACCTTTTCGAGAGCCAAGTCTTCCCGTACCTGTGGAAAGGAGAGAGGCTGTGTTCATTTATATATTAAGGTATGAGTTAAGATCTGATTCTGTTTCGTTCTGGGATTGTGATTTGGGATTAGGATTGTATAGTGTGGTTGTTGGCGGTGTAAAGGTTTCGATCGGCTTGTCCGTTATTCTTTTGTTTTACGTGCAGGCTATATGTACGGTTATTTTTTTTCCATATCTTTAGATTTTATGATTATATATATAATTTTCATTGTATGTATTTTTTATTTGCCCGGTCACTTGTTTTTCCAGCATATGTTAATTTACGGTTGGTCGATGGCTCTTATTTATTCCATTTTTTATTTCATTTCATTATGTTTCATTTTGACTCTGAAAGACATGTAACGTGTTGAAAATTTAGTGTGAAAAATCCAAGCATATTATTATCTTTTAAAATAGTTTTATAAAACCTAAATATTAAATGACAAAAGATTTATGCTAAAAATGGCAAAATACTAGGATTTTACATTTAAACCCTAATTAACAATTATTACACACTTATTATTACTATCACTCATAATGTATACGGTGAATTTAAAACTTTTTTGACACACGCACGCACGCACGCACACACACACACACACACACACACACACACACACACACACACACACACACACACACACACACACACACACACACATTTTTAAACATTTAAACAAAATTATAATACAAATAAAAAACACAAAATATAACAATCTTAATCCTAAGTCTACGCTCCATCATCGCATTCACATAGTTTGTGGTAAACGGTGGCAAAATACGACGACGCCTGCCATTACCTGTTCAACCCTACTGAAGACGCGGAGGAGGTTGAGTCCCGCCAGCTTCTTGAGGTCTTGCAGGGACCACGAAGGATCCTGCAGGAGCTCGGCGAAGAGTTCGGGGTATTTGGACACGTCCTCCAGCCCTCTTGGCGTGCTGGAACGTCGGAAGGTTAGGGCGCCGAGGGGACAGGCGATTTCTTGGCTCTGGTTGTCTGTCTGGCTGTGTGTGCGTGTGTATGTGTGTGTGTGTGTGTGTGTGTGTGTGTGTGTGTGTGTGTGTGTGTGTGTGTGTGTGTGTGTGTGTGTGTGTGTTTGTGTGTGTGTGTATGTGTGTGTGTGTGTGTGTGTGTGTGTGTGTCGGTCTGTCTGTGTGTGTCTGTGTGTCCATCCGTTTGTCTGCCTGTCACTGTCTGTCTTAGCCACTGTCTGTCTGTCTGTCTATCTGTCCGTCCGTCCATCCATCCATCTGTCCGTCCGTCTGTCTGTCTGCCTGCCACTGTCTGTCTGTCTTGGTCACTTTCTGACTGTCTGTCAGTCAGTCTGTCTGTCTGTCTGTCTCTGTCTTAGTCTCTCTCTCTTTCTCTCTAATGAAGGTAGCAATACTATTACTGGTATTAGTACCAACACTAATACCAATACTAATATTAATAGTATTACCAGTAGTGATACCATAATGATAGTTATAATAATAGTAAGGATGAAGATGATTATGATGATAATGGTTATGGTGTTGGTGGTAGTGGCACGGGCGCTGGTGATGATAATAATAACAATCATAATAATGATAATTATAACAATGGCAATGGTAATAATTATAACAATAACAACAGTGGTGATGATGATGATGATGATGATGATGATAATGGATAATGAAATAATGATAGTGATAATAGTTTGATGATAATAATAATGATTGAAAAATTATTAATAACCATCATGATTATCATAATGATAATAATCATCGTCATGATCATCATAATGAAAATAATTCTTATCATGATCATCATAATAATAACAATAAAAAGAATAATGCTCATAATAATGATAGGAATAATAATATTACTTCTAATACTTCTGCTCCTTCTGTTACCACTACTACTTTTATTACTACAACAACTACTACTGCTAATTATTGTTATTATCACTATCATCATCGACATCAAGACGAAACGCGAGACGTGGAACCGACCTGTTGAAACCGTCGTATCCAGCGCCGATTCCCACATAATCCACTCCCGCCATGGTGCGTATGTGGTTGATGTGGTCTGCGGAAAGACACGTTTCAGACATGTTAAGCTCCTGTCATACAAGCTCAGTCTTCCTCCGTCCCGATCTGGTATCTGTGCAAGCCTGATTGAGGGCTTTCTCCATAGCTAATGCATATGATGAACCTCGTGTTGTAAGGTAAATAAATGAAGAAAAAGAAGAAGAAGAAGAAGGAAAAGAAGAAGAAGAAATAATAGCGAGTCTCATTCGGAGCGATAGATTCTTCGTAGAAAAATGGAGATTTGCTCAAAGGGTAGCAGACAAATAAATTGTCTTTTAAGTCTATTTTCTGCGTTTCCGCTCAAAATTCTTCCTCCTCCTCCTTCTCCTCCCGCATATCTTCCCCCTACCTCTCTATCAATTTACCCACCTCTCTCCCTCACTCCCTTGTCCCCTTGCCTCTCCCCTTTGAACCTAATCTACAACCACAAACGAAAAATATCGTAACCCTCCGCAAATACAACAAAAAATCACGAAGTATCCCGTCCATTCCATTCCGCATTTCCTACGAAGACATCGGCGCCGCTCTGGGTGAGGGTTCCTGCTGTACACGAGACTGGATATTGCTGAAATACTGTTAACGGGCTGTTAAACAGATATGCAAATGGGTAACATGTGTGAAAGAGGGATTGCAAGGACTCGGGAGGGAGAGGGAGAGGGAGAGGGAGAAGGAGAGGGAGATGGAGATGGAGAGAGAGAGGGAGAGGGAGAGGGAGAGAGAGATGGAGAGGGAGATGGAGATGGAGATGGAGATGGAGAGAGTGAGTGAGTGAGTGTGAGAGAGAGAAAGAGAAAGAGAGAGAGAGAGAGAGAGAGAGAGAGAGAGAGAGAGAGAGAGAGAGAGAGAGAGAGAGAGAGAGAGAGAGAGACAGACAGACAGACAGAGAAAGAGACAGAGAAAGAGAAAGAGAAAGAGAGAGACAGAGACAGAGACAGAAACGGAGATAGAGACAGAGATAGAGATAAATAGGTAGATAGACAGATAGATAGAGATAGAGATAGAGATGGGAATATATTGCCTGGGAGATCGGTCATGCTGTGTGAAGCCTATTACTCTGGGACAATACCGATGTTTGGAATCAGGCGTCTCTCTCTCTCTCTCTCTCTCTCTCTCTCTCTCTCTCTCTCTCTCTCTCTCTCTCTCTCTCTCTCTCTCTCTCTCTCTCGCTCTCGCTCTCTCTCTCTCTCTTTCTCTTTCTGTGTGTATGTGTGTGTGTGTGTGTGTGTGTGTGTGTGTTTGATGAACTTTATGAACATTTCATTTCAAATTTATTCGGTGCCAATAAATATTGTAACTATTCATCCTTGAAATTCTTTGTATTTCTCGTGTCCTTTTTTTTTCTTTCCTTTTTGCTCCTTCATTTTTTTCTCCTCTTCCTCCTGAGCTGTCATCCCCACCAACTCCTCTTCCTCCGCCTCCTAATTTTTCTCCTCTTCTGCATTTTCTCTCCTTTTCTTCTTCCTTACCTTCTCCTTTCTCTTTCTCTCCCTCTATTTTATCTTTCCCTCCAGCTAGCGATGTCAGTGAATACAGCTCATCCCCCCACCCTCATACTTCTCTCTTCCTCCCCCCCCCCTTCTTCCCTCCTCCACGACCCTTCATCCCCATCTCTCCCCATCCTTCCTATGTCCCATTTATCTCCTTATTCCTCACCACTCCAGTTCCCCATCCCTCTCCCCCCCCCCCTTCATGCCCCTCCCTACCCACCGAACCCTCCCTTCCCCATCCCTCCCTATCCCTACCTATCCCTCCCCCCCTCATCTCCCTCCCCCCACCCACTGGACCCTCCCTTCCCCATCCCTCCCCCCCCTCATGCCCCCTCCCCTCACCGAACCCTCCCTTCCCCATCCCTCACCCCCCCTCCATACCCCCCTCCCCCTACCATGTAAGAATCAATTAAACTTTGGGTGATTCGACCGTGAGATTAATGGCGCCAAGACACAATACGCGACAGTCAACACATCACGAAATCTCATCCTTAATTCCTCTTTTTTAATTACAAAGGAAAAAAAAGAAAGAAAGAAAGAAAGAAAAGATAAAAAAAGAGGGAAAGCAAGATCACAAAAAGGTGAAAATTAAAATGATTATAATTAAAATGCTTATCAAGTCCCCGGTGGATAATCAGCGATCGTTAAGAATACATTAACACTTGCCGGGATTGTGGTTCGTGTCGCCTCGGTCTGTGTTCTGGTAGAGGGGGGGAGTGGGGGTTCGAGGGGGAAGGGAGGAGGTTCATTTAAATCACTCCCCCGGATTCTCCCTGTCTGTCTCTTCTTCTGTCTGTCTGTCTGTCTGTCTGACTGTCTGTCTCTCTCTCTCACACACACACACATACACACACACACACACAAACACACACACACACACACACACACACACACACACACACACACATATATATATATATATATATATATATATATATATATATATATATATATATATATATATATATATATATATATATATATATATATATATATATATATATATATATATATATATACATGTATATATATATATACACATGTATACATATATATATATATATATATATATATATATATATATATATATATATATATATATATATATATGTGTGTACATATATAAAAATATATATATATATTATATACAATATATTTATATATATAAATATAATATATTATATATATAAATATATATATATTTATATATATATATACATATATAATATATATTATATATATATATATATATATATATATATATATATATATATATATATATATATATATATATATATGTATATATATATATATATATATATATATATATATATATATATATATATATATATATATATATATATATATTATATATATATATATATATATGTATATATATATTCCAAGCTATTCCAAGCAAGCCGACAATTATTCACCATCTCTCAGTAATCCCAGCCTCGCTCCACTGAGCACTGCTTTAATTTCATTCTTGGTCGGGATGTTATTCCACGGTCGACCTGTACATAATTGCACTACACTCCGTCAATAACCTTTCGCTTAATCCCGCTAACGACCCAGGAAACAAGCCAATTTACCAAGGAAACAACGAGTAAACCGAAACTAAAGCATAACCTTCCCTATGTGCGGAGGTAGTACTGATAGTGATAAAACGATGAAATAAAAAAAAATCGGTATTAGGTTGGTTCTGATCGCATGCTATGTTATTGTTCTGGAATCCTTCATCAAAGTCTCGCTTGATAATAAAGTTTTGCAATTACAGCCAGAAATCAATCTCTTGCTTCTGTTAGTATAGCTTTGCTGGGTTTATTAAGAGCGTAAGGTTGAAATATTCGAGAAAAAAAAATATTTTGCGAAAAACATCCAAAGAATGGTGTGGGGTTGAAGATTCATCACAAGGCAACAGAGCAACATATGTTCAGTACCACACCAGACTCAGAAGTGAATGAACGTTGCTTTGTTTTCAACGTGGGTAGACGTGGAAAGCTATATCTCACCAAACCGAAGAACATAAAAAGGGCAACCGGCAGCAGGACCTCGCAGAAAAGTGAGGGAGGAGAGAGCGCGCGCCGGTCACACAGAACCGGCTCTCGAGAGGAATTTCGCGTGAATTTCCCAACCAACAGATCATCTAAGAACTCAATGTTGGGTTTAAAAGGAGTAGTTTTCTCGCGACCCTATTTGGGAGACATGAAAAGTCTGCGAAACCGTGCTCAGGCGAATGGTAGGGCTACCTTTATAATGAGTGCTTAATCAGAACGTATTTGGCTTATATGATGATACAGATTTAGACTAATTGGAGTCGTACAGTAAAGGAACAAAAATCTCTATTATATTTCTCAAAAAAAAAAAGTTTTCACCACTGTAAATTACTCCTTGAAAGAGGTCTCGTTGGAAAGAGTGGACAGTCTGCTACAGTTTCTGCTTTTAAAATAGTTAAAAAAAATATTCGCTCATAACTAATGAAGTTAGATATCAAACTGACGCCACCCTCATACATAAATACAAAAAGAAATATGTACACATATGCACAGATACAAATGCTGTATTAAATCTTAATATATCTCATTCAAATTCATTAAAAAAGTACAAACTTTGTAAACTCTCTCTCTCTCTCTCTCTCTCTCTCTCTCTCTCTCTCTCTCTCTCTCTCTCTCTCTCTCTCCTCTCTCTCTCTCTTTCTCCTCTCTCTCTCTCTTCTCTCTCTCTCTCTCTCTCTCTCTCTCTCTCTCTCTCTCTCTCTCTCTCTCTCTCTCTCTCTCTCTCTCTCTCTCTCTCTCTCTCTCTCTCTCTCATTCTCTCTCTCTCCCTTTTCCCCTCTCTCTCTCTTTCTCGTCCTCCTTTCCTTCTCCCCCTCCCCCCCCTCTCTCTCGCCCCTTTCCTTTTTTGTTTCTCTCTCTGTGTTTGTCCATGCTTATACACACACACACACATACACACACACACACACACACACACACACACACACACACACATACACACACACACACACACATATATATATATATATATATATATATATATATATATATATATATATATATATATATATATATACACATATATATATGTATATATGCATATACATATATATATATACATACATATATATATCCATAAACACATATACAGTGTAAGAGAGCCTTGATGGAAAGAAAATAAGACCAGGGTTGAGATAGTAAGCATACAAAGAGAGCTGGGATTTTAGATTTACGTAGAATTCTAGCGAAGAGCTATTTACTAAATGTATAAACACTGGTAAATGATAGTAAACATATAAGACCTTTCAATCTGTATCATATACTTACATAAGTATTATAAAGTTACAGCCACTGTCATTTCCGTAGCATTAACATTATGCCGTATCTTATCCTTTGTTAGTTGAGCAATCGTTATCATCAATTCTGCTGACATTGTAATCACGTGATATAAAGCACCTTAATTCCTTGACGACGATTAATCATTATCATCATGCACAGCCCTGAGCACCGCC